AAAAAAAATGATATATATATTCCAGTAAACGAAGAAAATATTTTTTTAAATTGTAGAATTAACTATTCTTAAAAAATTTTTACTAAAAAATTGTTTTACATCATTTCAACGATTTTAAATAGTTATTACAGTAACAGTGTAGGGACCGACAGATGAAATTAGTGATTGTACAAATATTTTACTATATTAAGCATCTTATACAAGTTAACATTTAAATTATATTTTTGTGGCACACGGATAAATAAAAAATACTAAGATATTATCTTATATTTTAAGCTACAGTTTTTTCCTTTTTTAGTTAATCGCTTTGTTTTATTATTATATATTTTTTCTAGAATAATTTTAATTTCTCATTGCGTAAAATAAATTGAACGAAACAAAAAATGTTCAAGTTTTTATCTGAATTAACCCAGTGTTTATAATTTAAAATGTCGTTAAATTGGATAATTGAATTTATATCACCCGTAAAGTATTACAATAACTAACTTGTATACGACAAATTGTTTAAATTTTAAATAATATTGAAATTATTCAATAAGCTATTCGTTTTAAACGGTTAAAAATGAAATGTGCAATTTGTGAGTATTTTTCAAAGTTTTTTTAATCCAAGTAGGTATAAAGTATATTTGATTTATGTTCAATTAATTAATAATTATTAACAACCATTAGTGATCGAATGAGTAGTAATTCATTAATAACATCTTTGAAGTCGTCGGCATAGAGCTGATGAAAGAGGGGGAATTCATGTGACTAATGCAGTCGGTTTACTTATAAATGAATGAGCGGGTTTTGGTTAGACGTACCCGCTGTGGAGGTGATAGTCGGCAGTGCTTATGGACTTTTTCATGCAGCCCACTCAGTTTCCCATCCACAAGCGGAGCCGGTTATTCAACGGAATCGAGTACTACAAACGGTAAATGCAACAACGACAACAAAAACATGCCCTTGCCGCGTTGCCTAAGAGTATATCTAAATGTGTGCACCTTGTTCCGCATGAAGGAAAAGATCAATGTTAACTCGTTAAGGTGCCAGAGGAAAAGCGAGCAGTTTCCACCGAACGTCTGTTAGCTTTCCCCGCCCACATCGGTAGTATTCTCACTGATGGACTATCGCAGACCATAGTGACGCCCTCGTTTAATTAAGCTTAAGCCGGTGTATCCCAATTATTTATTTGAGAATATCGTCTACCTTAGTTCGCCGTTTACATCATTAAACGGAAATGTTTAGTTGATATTACTCACATGACACTGCGTCTAAAAACCAAACATGACTAGTTAGATTATTTACTTTGTTAAAAATATAGAAATATTTTTCTTTTGTCTTTGAAAACGGGAATGAAGAACTCTGTTTAATTTTATTTTGACACAATTACTCTGCTATCAAAATGCTTTATAAATTCAAATACATTATGAACTCCTATTGGGTTCAACATTATTTGGAGTTTATATTTAAATAATTTTAAACTAATAATTAGATTGTTGAAATCTGGTTCTTCGTTATTAAAAACGACAAGCGTTATGAATTATATGGATATAAATATAGCCAAGAAGTTATTGTTTGTACAAGTTAGTTTTTTATTAAACTTTATTTATTCATCGACAAAATTATTCATAAACACGTTACTATGGTTAAATATGTTTTTAAAAAATAACAGATAAGTATAACAATTGGTTTTCTTAAAGACTGGCTAAATGAACAAAACATAGAACAGGATAAAATAAATGAGCTTATTGATTCAACAAAGTTATATTTGGGTCAAAATATTTTTAAGTTTAAAATAAATTTAATGAGGAATTGAGGGCACAGAAATGGAAAATCCGCTGTCACTATTTCTAGCAGAATTTTTCATGTTAAAATTAAAAACGAATTTAAAAAACACCTATGGTGATTTTCCGGAAATTTGGATAGATATTTTTGTAGTAATAAACAAGAATTTTAATACGGAGGTTTCCATTCATCATTTAAATTATTTTTACCTATCAATTAAATTCACGTACGGACAGGAAGTAGATAGTAAATTGCTTTTTTTCGATTTATTAATTAAAAGAGTGGGGGAGAGTAAATTTTGAAATCTTTTGTTACTGAACATTTATTAAAATTTAATCACTCTATTAAAACCAATTAAAATCGTAAATAATTACAAAGAACTTAATATAAAAGAAGCAATAGAAATGTTTAAAAATAACAACAATTTAATTAATTGTGATCTTGACCCACTGAAAAATTCATTATTTAACACTTGTATAAATTAATAATAATAACACTATTTGAGATTTTTGAAATCAGATGATTTCCCTTTATATATGAGAGTTTAAAACATGAAAATTACTAGTAAAATTTTTTCAACTTTTCAATATGTTCTTCCGGAAGTACTCAGGGTTTTAAACATATGTAAAATTAAAGCTCATGTTACATATGAAGATCAAGTTCAAAAAAAGATTTGTCCTGATACCTTATATTTTATGTGAAAATAGCTGTCGTATTTAAAAAAACATGAAATTTTTATGTTAAAATTTTCGGTTTCACATTTAATTTTAAATTGCAATAACTTTTTAAAAAGTGTATGGACACAATAAATTTTTTTTTGTATATACATTATGTTTATTTTTTAAATTCGAAATACTTTTTTTTGAAATCGGACCTTTTCGTTTTATACAGAGGGGGTTCATAACTTGAAACATATAACATAGGACACATAGAACTTTTCAAACTTGAGTTATGAAAATGTACATGAATTCTCCGAGCTTTAAACATTTGTTAAATTAAAACTTATGTTATACACTATGTGTTAAAGAAAAAAATTGCCCCGACGATTTAATTCTGTTTGTAAACGGTCTCGAAGATAGACAAATAATATTATTTTGGTATACAATTGAAATATTTAAAACTGTATTTATATATTATATAGTTATATTGTATACTATACTAATAATTAGTAATATTCATATTACATAATTATATTACAATATTCAATAATCTTGGCCTAGATTCACCTATGATTTTGTACACTGATGTTTTGTTGAATTTAATTTTAACCAAAATTTTTTTAGCCTCGATTGGAATTTGATAGGTATTATTTTTATTGTGATAATTTTTTTAATTTAAGTATTAATTTTTACTTATTAGTAATAATCTCAAAAATTAAAGGTGATAGAATATGTAAATAAATAACTTTGTTAATCAAAATTGTTGAAATTTTTATGTATATCCACCTTAATATTAATAAAAATTGTATTTTTTTTCTTAATTTTTATTGAAAACTACTTGATTTTTGTTAGAATTTTGCATTAAATGTACTGTACGAACTAAGCTCCCCAGGCGCTCCTTCGAAAATGGGTCTAAATTAAAACTGAATATCTAATGAGTATTTAGGAATAGCTTCAAGCTTTTATAACTGGCTGTTTTTTAAGTAATAAGCATTTATAATTTAAAATGATAGTATAAACCATTTACTTCTCAATATTTTATGATTTTTTTTCTATTAATACAAATATAACGTTAAGTTACATAAAATGTTGTTTTGATGTGGCGTTTAAAATATAAAAATAACGAAAAATGAATTTAAATGTCTTTGTTATTGATGGAATTTCAATAGTATATCATCTTAAATTACTTTATATTTAATATATATATAATCATAATATAATAGTAATTTTAACGTTTTCAAACTATTTCTTTTTTTTTTGTTTTCTTTTAGTAACCAAATAATATTTATGAATGTTTTAAAGTTTTAATGGATCGTTGTATTACTTCGAATATTTACAGATATATCCATGTCTTCAGTCTTATGCTAATTTTACACACTCGTTGTAAAGTTCATCTTCAGACCCGTGACAATTTGATTTAAACTGTAGCAATTTGATACATATGTATTAAATTTCTCTCTATTGTAATGTTTTATAAGTTAATACTTGTATTACATGATAAAATGAGTTCTTTATTGCTGTTTGTTTTGCTTGTGGAAATAAAATAGAATCGTGTTTGGAAAGTTTTCAAAACACTACTTTTAATAAAGCCAATGTAAAACTAATATTCTATATACATAATTACAATATAAAATTAAAACACGAGTTAGATGGAGATTTATTTCGAATCAAATATATAATTTAATCGAAAAAAACTTGTACACAGTGTTATTTCCGACATTTCATAGATTCATTCATGTGTATTAATCTCTGTATCAACGATAAGTTGAGTAGTAAAGAGTCAACAGAACTACTGATTTTAATAACAAATTATGAAACATTCAAACCTGTAAAACCGGAAAATTTTGCTATAATTTACTATCAATCTTTGATGAACTACTGATAATATGTATCATCTATTGCATAATGTTACTCGCAACTAGTTATAACAAATCATATCTAAAAGTAATAATTTTAAAAACTTTTCATATATTTGTCCTACTTTCTTTCTGATTTACTAGACCCTATAAAAACGGTTAAAATGGCTTTTTCCTCGTTGTATAATTGATTGCGAACTATATATACTTTAAATTAGAATACTCATCACAACAAAATAATTAGCATTAAATTATTTATAAGCGTATACATATATACGAATCAATTAACTTATAATGTTTCTGGAGCTTAGATCTAAAAGAATTATTGTATAAAAATGAAAAATAATTTTAATTTTTAAATTAGAATTTTTTTTAAGAAAACCAAAAATGGTAGCAACGTGGCTTAGAAATATCCCTTAAAAAGAATTCTACTTATTTTAAAGGGAACATTACCAATCTATTTAATAAATTTTTTTATTATATGCTTTTTCTTAGGCTTTCATTATTCTAAAAAAGGTAAAAATAAAGCCGGTATTCAAACTTTACTTAAAAAAAAAAATAAGCATCGAAAATGAAAAACTAAAATATGAAGTTATTTAATTTTTAAATAAAATTAATTTTTGTTGTTAAATGAATTGGCTTAAAAATACTGTAATAATGTATGTACTGTGTTGTTATGTGAACTTATTTACAATTTAGTCTGCTTAAAAAAACAAGTATTTTGTTTAGTTAGTTTGATTCGGAGGAACTTTTCATAATTTTTCGTTAAATTTTGTGCTACATATTTCGAAAAATACTTTATATTTTTCATATTCAAGTGTTTATAAAAACCTTAAAATTCATTATGAGTTCATTGCTTTTGACCGAGACAGTTAATTTTGAAGACACCATCTCAGGTATGTAAAAAATTCATTTTCTTCAGCCGTCCGTTAATTTTTTGTATTTATGAAACTAAAATTTATTGATACTGTCTCATCTTTTCTTTAAGACACTTACATTCTTGATCTTAAAATCTCCAAAACTTGGATCCGTTCAATTGTTGATTGGGCGAAGCCATTATCGTTTGATAAAAAAGTATCTAAAAAACGTTATATCTATGCAAACAATATTATTAATTTGTAAAGTTTAATTTTTATTAACAGTACGAGTTTTATAATTCGATTCGTACTATGATGGAATGGTTGACTTCTGTTGAAACAGATATCATTACTTTGACATCAGAGCCACCGCAAAATTTGCTCAGCAAAAAAGGCTATCTGTTATATTTGCGTAGTCTGATGCGAAAAATTAAAGACAATAAGAATCTGAAAGATCGCATCATTAAAAAAGGCGGCAAGATTATCAAAAGATTAGATTATCCACCAACTATAAAGATGGTTAACAATTGGATAGCACGTATTCAATCAAAGTGGATTGTAGTTTGCAACTTGGCTATTCAAGTAATTATTTATTTGCGTATAACTTACATTTTTAAGAATATATTTTATTTTATATTTTAAATTGAAAATATATAGAAAAATTAAAAAATATGTCAGCTAGAAAATAATACTATATTTTTTTAGGCGGAAAAGCAACTATTAGAATATTCTGAATTTTTTGAAGAAAATGTCTTTATTAAAGATTCTGTAACTAAGGAGACAGCCGAATTGTGATTGATGTTTAAAATAATGTTATGTTTGTTTTTTATGAAACTTTTTTAGCTTTATGGTAATTACTGCCAATTGTACTTTCATACTCTGCTTAGAGAAACTTCTATAAAATAGCTAAATTCTACTTTTTAACAGACAGCTGAATTATGATTATTTAAAATACGATATATTTTTTTATTTGACAATTTGTTGTTTTATGGTAATGATATTAATATAGTTTTTTTATGTACTCTCATTAAACGTTTTACAGAAATCATTAATAAATAATACATATTTCTATAATTGTATTTTAGCTCTATTAGATCTAAATTCCAGATATAATTTTCTCTAAATATATTGTTAACAAATCAAATACCTCAACTATTAAATAATAAAATTATCTGCCCAGAGCTACTTGATCAAATTTGTTTTAAAATACCAGCTTATAATACCCGATCTCAACAATTATTTTTTACTATTCTAGGGAAAAATAATTTCATTAAATATAGCCCAATAAACCGTATGTTAATGTCTTGTAATAATATTTCCAACTTTGATTTTTTTTATGATTGTCCTAACAAATTAAAATGGGTAATAACTAATAATAATCATTCTAACACAAATATTTAATGTTATATTCATAATAATTCATTACTTCTAATTTATATTATTTTTATACTTAATATCTAATTATTGTTCACCTTAATTTTATAAATGTATCACTGTATATTGTTAATTTTCTAAAATTGTATTTATATTATTATATTACTACCTGTACTACATTGCCCTTCGAGGGTGTTATCTTATAAATAAATAAATATAAATAAATGTAATATTTTAATTAAAATTTTTAATTATACTGTATATCTATTATGGTGCACTATAAAATGTTTCTACATTATTGTGGTTTCTATTGTCTTGTATAAAAAAAGAATACAGGACAAATTAATAATAATTTGTAATTAGTATGTCTTGGTAAAATTTATCTATGGTTGATATATTTTATAAATATTTGTTCAAAAATAGTTTGTACATTTTGGCAAAATATTTATATTTTTCTGATATTATTTAATAAATAACTTGTTCGAAATTAAATTGGTGCATAAAAATATTAATTAAGATGATAAAAACCACAGAGTTTTAAAGCTTACTAATATTTATTTCTCTTAATAATTGATGAGTTAATAGCTATTATATTCAGAGTTTATGATTTTTAATTGATAAATTATATAAATAAATTTGGAAAATTAAAGTTTTTCATTTTTTACATCTTTATGTAGGAATACATTGGCAACTAAAATATTCTTATAACCTGATTGAATTATGTAATGACATTTTTTATTTTCGACTGAAATCGTTTAATCTTAATAAGTTATGACATATTTATGAAACATCATAAAAGTGATCGATAGTAATTTTTTTGTACATAAATATACATGTTTCTAGTAATAGTGCTGCAACAAAAATATTCACATCTTTCTTAGTATGACCTCCTATCGATTCTGTTATTTTGAATTAGTTAACATGGTTTTTACAATATGTATTTAAACCAATATTCATAAGTTGTCGCGTTTTATGAAAAAAAAATGTTTTGATGTACAGGTGAGTCGCGAAAATATGATAAATCCAAAAACTTTTGATCTAGCCAATATTTTACATGACTTTCTTTTTAGAATAATTTTGAGACATTGTTTACAATTTTAAAATAGTAAATAATATTTTCTTAATTTACGCAGAAGAATACAATTATTAAAAAATGTACGTGAAATGTGTTAAAAAATATTAAAATAATCATTTGGTAGACTATATTTTCAGAAAACATTTGATGGTTATCTACCTATATTTTGTATTAACGTTTTATAGTTGAATTTCCAAATTTTTTTTGGGTATATTTTACGGTATTACGTGTTAGTTATGAAGAAAATGATAGAAGTGTATGAACATATTTATGTTAAATGTTAGTTATTGGTTTCAATTTTATCCATGACAACTAACATTGTTTCAATATACGCTAATTATTTGTAAAATTTGAATTCAATAACATCAACTATTAAGTTATCGTAGACATTAAGATACATGACTAATTGTATTCGTAAAATTAAAGCATATGACTAACATTAATCGTCGATAATATCATGTACCTCTATCTGCTTAAAAAAATGTACTATCGTTTAGTACTGTAAGATATACATGAAAAAATCCAAATTAATATTAACTTTAAAATGCTTTAGAGTTTTAATTACAAAATATTAAGAAGATATTTTGGTACAAAATTTTTCTTTAAAGTTTATTTTACACTTTAACAGTTTTTTGATTTTTTTTTAAACATTTCATGTAATTTTTTATTTTTGAACATAAATCAAAAAATATTATGATTTTGGTTAATGGTATAAACGTTATAAGTAAAATATGGACATTTTTTACTAATTAAGTACTTTTAGTATCAAAAATCTATTGAATGTTTATATTTTGTTGGTACAGATCACGTATCATAATTGCTACACAAGTGATCATGTCGAAATGTGTTAAATAATATTTATTTTTCACAAATTATGGAAATTAATCAAGTTTAATTTAAAATAAAGTAGTATTTATCCATAAATAATTTTCTTTTGATTCTATTCTATAAATAATACTCTGAAATACGATTTTTTGAAATTAGAAAAATTATAAATAACATTAAGCTTTTGTGTATTTATAATTTTAGATATTATTGACTACCATTGTGTTGTTTAAAAATATTTTATTTATAAACGCGTCTTTTCTAAATACAATTACACATGTCAACACATTTATTAATACATTATTTTGTTGAAATAGTCCTATTGAAGTTATATAACGATAATAATTGATGGATAATGAATATTTAGAATTAAATTGTATTACTTTTGAAAACAAAGTTGAAGGTCAAATTCTACTGTATAACAAACAAGGGCTATTAATTCTTTTAAGTTTTCCATTCAGCATTTTCTCCTAATTATTTATTACGTTCGGAAACCACTACAAATGACAAACGAAATTAGGCAGTGCATTAAAAAAATAAATTTAAATCCATTTTATGCACTCTAGCCACATAGTCACCATGTGCATGCGCCTCTGCCGTTTGATGTCTAGTTCAAGGTCGGGCGGCACACTCCTACGAAGGCCGTCCGGTGCTTTCTTCTTCCACTTTCTCTTTCGCGGTGATCCCATCCGTAAGTCCACATCGAAGTCTGACTGTACCATCACTACCCTCTCAATGTCCCCTCCTATGTGCGGACACCAACAGAATCCCATAGACTGTATATATGGCAATTGCGCCCGTGGTGACCGGTTCATTTGGTCTTTGGCCGCAATGTCCGACGGATCGAGGTGTACGACGAAGATATATAAAAAATAATACGAGTGTTTCGTTAGATATTATTTTAATTTAAGTGCTTTTACATGTATATGGACGTACGTATAGGTGAACGTTGTTGTTATCATTCGTTTTCGTACTGATTAATCAGTGGTCCACGCGATCATCTTCAACGGACAGGATACATCATGGATACTCGTCTTACACAGGTAAAAACTCAATTATTTAATGATTATCCTTTGCGAAAAAATGACAATACTATCACCAAGTCAATATAAAAAACATTCATAAATTTTTTTTTCATCAATTACTTGATATTAAATAGACATACTTCCTATTTAATATTAATAAAATGTTCTTTTAAATCAATCGACATGGAAAATTGGCGGTACGTAGAGAATATCAGTCATTTGCTTGAAAACAGTAGTTAGACGATTAGAAATACAGTTTTAGTTTTATCGTTTTGATGCATTAAAAATACTCATAAGAATTATTGGTCGGAAAAAGCGGTTGGGTACAAGTGTTCATTGTTTATTCAACCAGTTAAGGGTCGCCAGACCTTAAATAGGTTAATTAACGATGATGTTTTCAAAAACATTATACAAACGCAAATTTTAAGAAATTGTCTAAAATTAGGATTAGATTTCGGACGATTTATAATAATAACTAAAACTCCCGTCTTTACAATTATGTACTACAATACACAATGTAAATATATTTTATTTTTTTTTTATTATTAAATGAAATTAATAGCAATTAAAAAAGAATAATATACATATGAATTATATACGTATAATAACGAGATTCAATAATTTTAGTAAATAGACCGAAAAAGTATACAATTTTTTAAAAATCATACTTCTGAACGAATTTTAATTGATAATATTTTGTTTTGTCTTATAGTTTCCAAGTTGTAATAACTAATAAATAATAAATAATGCGTAGAGTTCTGAAGCAATTATTTGCTGGTTATCTAATTATAAGCCAAAGAATAAAAATGATTTACATAGTAATTTTCCGCTTAATAATATAATTTTTAAATTTAAAATTCGAATGCTTGCATTCGAAAGTAAATATGCTTATAATGATCTTATGAGCTAGTTTTTTCATTATGTAGCGTAACTTATTATTTTATAATGACGTTTATTTTTTGTCGCACTTGTGTCTAGTAATAAGCGTTATATAAATTTTTTAAAATAATAACAATACCGATAAAATGTGTTATTAGAAGTCAAGTACAAATGCAATAGTTGAAATTATTGTATTTGTATTTGTATTTGATGCGGTTATTTGAATATTATTTAATGTATAAATACACTATTTATTCAATTCTTACTGTTAAATTAAGATTTGATAATCAAAGCGATTTTAAAGTAAAATTATGATGCAAACAATAATACATTAATGTTCAAGAAAAGGATAGATTATTTAAAATAAATACATTGTAAAATATTTTTAAATTTTGTGATATTAAGTAAAATGAGACCATAATGATTTTAGTTATTTTAATAAAAAAAATATTCTTTTAATTAAACTAAATATTTACAGGTTAGTTTTTTGTTTTATTATCATATTATAATATCACCAAATTATATTGTAATGTTTCATTTGTCTTTACTATCATTATACAAAAACTTGTGATCAACTGATTCAAATTTAAATTATTCTAGAGCTCTCATTTATTTTATACGATTTGGATTTTAAAATTGATATTTTTTAATTTATATATTATTATATAAGATAAAATATATATAGAAGTATGTCAGTATGTGTTTAGCGTTGATAATGGTAACATTGTTTTCGAAATACGTATTTGCGACTTTTCAGTAATTTCTTGTGGCTTTTGAGTTTAATATTTTTAATATATTTTAGTTTTTAAATTAATAATATTTTTAATATAGTTTTAGTTTTATTTAATATATATAAAAGAAATATTGAATGAATTTGTTTTCTTGTATTATAGAGATTCATAGGTGTAACTGTCGGGTTAAGAGAGATTTTAACATTAGTTGAAGATTAATGAGATATAAATATTCATGAGCTGTTTAAAAAATTAATAGTTTTTTTTATGAAATGAAAAATATAAATAGATTAGATAATAGATTATTTATCGGTTGAATAAATAAATGAGTAGAACAAATTAAACAATTATAATACGTCATTAAATTAAGGGTAATGCAAAATAAGTAGTTTTAATTAATTATTGCTAGAAATTTATGATGACATTATAAAATAATAAATACTAATGAAATTATTTAGCATGGAGTAAGTTTATGGGGCAGTGAAACTTTAAAATAAACCAGCCTTTAATAATTATCAGAGAAGTTTACGATTTAGCTATCGGACTAGGTATATTGTTAAAGTACTTAATAATAATAATAATAATAGTCGTTCATCAAAAAGTTTTATTTGCTACTTAAATGACTGGATTTTTTATGAACTTCTCTACTCAAAAACAATATTAATGGAGAGAGAGAAAAAAATTACACTTACCATCATATAAATTTCTTTAAGTACTTTTACTCACGCTGTGAACATTTAAAGTTGAAATTCTTTTCATCGTATAAAAATGTATACATAAAATTTATAAAACTTTTTTACTAGTGTAAATATTCGGGGCTTTAAGTTAAAAAAAGGCCCATGATAACTCTTTTCGCTTTATTATTTTGAGAGGTCCACGTTTCTGTAGATTCATATGGTTAAAATAGCAGGTCTTAAAGACACCATTTTTTTAAAGGTTCCATTTTGGGTAAGTTTTTATACAAAAAGATTAGTGTTTCTGGTGAATTTCCAGTTTTATAAATGGGACGCTTTTTGAGAATTTCGAGTGGTATAAGAACTACAGGATCACCACAATTTGAAAATTGTGGTGATATGTGTCTATAAATATAAATTATACAAGATAAGTAAATTTACTAGTGAAAAAATGAAATCATACTACCAAATCTTGTGCAGCACAACTTAAATAAATAAATACATGTACTGAATTGTAAATGAACTAATAACACAATTTTAAAATTTTACAGACTCTAGAGATTATCATTGAGAATAAAATCTGATCTCCATTTTATTTAGTTCTGCAATTTATTGTTTACTTAATAAACTTTTATCAGTGTGATCTGAGATTACGTTGCTGTTGTGGTGGTTAGCCTACAGATAAAGTCAAGTCACGTTCCTTAAGACTGACCAAAATATTACCTCTCAAACATTTTTGATATAAATGAAATAAATTTGTTTGGTTTGTTTGTTCTTATAATATTTGATCTAATTACGTAGATTTTACTTTCCGGCAACATAAAATAAGGTACCGTTATTTTTTACGCTTTGAGGCTATTTTAAAAATATGGTAATGACAGCAGCTACAGTTATGGCGTGGGACTAGCCGACAATTCCTTCCAATCTTGCCGGCGAAATTAATAGCAATCATTGAGAATAGAAAGTTGAGGTCAGCTGTGGTGGCGATTCTTGTGGAAAATCTTCGAAATGATTTGTCGGTTCTAAACGTTGTATGAGATGATCGCAGATTCGAAGAATTCGCAAGACATACGCCTATGGATAAATTTAACGTTGAATGGCGGATCTAACCTAATGGCCTAAAAATCGTATGACTTATAACTTTAGACAAAGTATAGTAAAATACTTAATTCCAATTTACAATTTTCAAGTAAATCATTACATTCTTACACATTTCTGTAACTTAAAATTTGATGATATAATCTCAAGACAAACCAAGTTTAAAAATATTGCTCTGTAATTTACATAAAAAAATTAATTAATATGATTCAAAATCACATTTCAGTTTTTTAATCTTCGATTTTTTGAGCAATTAAGTACACTCAACCAATGAATAAATATTAATTATCGGTCAGCTAATTAGGGAGAAACTGGTTTAAAATTATTGTTACTATTATTAATTCATTGCATTAGGTTATTATAGAACATGATATATAATCAATAATATGTTAAAATGATAAAATAAATATTAAAATGATGTTAAAATTCAAACCATACGATCATTTCATTTCTCATTTTGCTACGATATAAATAGCGATTTATATTTTCACACTAATTAGAGTAAAAACTTGGTGTTTAACCAATGTGACAAAGATGTTTTATAAAAAAAATAATTGAGTTCGCTTAGAAAGAACTTTCTTTAAAATGAAAATTTTTTACGTTTTTATTTAAAACGAATTCTCATGGAAAATACTTACATAATAAAATTGTTTTTATAATAATTTCGATATGCGATGTTTGATGAATATTGATTTTGTACGGATTGAATAAGTTTGCTTACACATATTTTTATTGTGAAGAATATTGATGACGAAGAAGAATTTCGTTAAAAAAAATATGTATATATAAATTTTTATGAGTCACATAACTGATTTGCTAGAAATTGAATATTTTTTACTGTGTAACGAATGAAGAAATAATCGAGTCATGGGCGCACAATGCGATAATTTGTGGAAGTCGTATAATGATTTGGGGGAGCGCAATTTAGGCATACTAATTGTTTGTTTACCAATAGAAACTATGCACTACTTGTGTTGATTCTGCGCGACTATTATGTTGACCGATATTTGAAAATGGAAATATATTGTTGAAATGGCCAATGCGATTCGTGTAGTGTATTGGTTGCAGAAGGACTCGGTTTGGCATTTCGTCTGACAAGTACACAATTACTACAATGTGTTGGTAGAAAACCAGTGTTGTGATGTGTCGCGAGTGAAGAGAAATCACTGTTCGAGTATTTCGGTGACTACGCGTTTTGCATGTGGAATGACTTACAAACATTGTAATCGTGTGGTTGTCTGTAAACGTTATGTTTGAGTGATGACCGATTGTGTCGTATGAAATCGACGACGTACAACATATGCAGCTGTCAATCGTCGTTTAAAAAAAATAAACAATTTCACTTAAAGTTTCAATTTTAAATTACGTATTGAGTTGTTATTCTCCATGTTAACTATATGTATATGACACTTTAGAGACCATTAAGTAATGCCTACACCAGAAATATTTCTATTGAAATAAATAGGAAAACGGTTGCTAAAAAAGCAACCGATCAAACATGAATTACATTTCGGAAGTCTTAAATTCTCAAGAGAAGTATAAAAATCGCTGTACTATGACACAGCAAAGTAAAATATACTGTCAACATAAGAGAATAATTGTTGGCTTAAGTAAAGTATTCTTTTCGCAAATTTAACTTCAAATTGTCAATTGATTCAAAAAAACCAAGCGTATAATATAAATACTTGTGACTTGTTTGAACCTTGGCTAATTAGCTATTTGCAAGATAAACTAACATAAAATAAGTATAGCCTGTTTTTTGAGAAAAAATAATAACAATATTACTGGTAATTTATTTGATTAAATTCTTACCTATTTTTAGCACTCTTGTTGAATGTCAAAAATAAAAAAAAATTCAAGTAATCTGATGGACAAAATTCTCTTCTTATCTTTTAAGTAATCATTTTGCTGTGTTAACATAGAGTATATGTTGCAAATAATTATATATAAATTGACTACGCATTATAAATTCAACAATATCATTCGAATTTACGGTAACCTGTTTAAATAACTTATTAAAAATACAAAATATTTTTTATTTAATGCTAAAATAATTAGTGATAATTACCATGTCCATAAGATGTTAACTCAACACAAAATTAAATTATTAGCTTTTTGAAGACTGTAGGATCTAGTATCTTTATTATTAAATAGATCTGTTAATAGAAATCATTATAAAATAATAATTACTTATAATTTTATTATTACCTATTCAGTAAAATAAATTATTAGTATATAATTATTATGATTTATATATGACTTATGATTCGGTGTTAGCGTAGGTGGGATTGAAAAACTTGGTCATTATTATATGATAAAATTAATGGTTACAAATGATAATATTAATTCAACACATTGATATATTTAAGGGCTAAGTTAAGTGGCTATTTAAGTGCTAGCAGAAAAATATTTAAAAAAAATTGACTGGATGTGAAAGTTTTTTTTATCAAACTTTAAAAAGTTTTTTTAAATATTATTTTTATCACTATAATACAATACAATAATAATTTAATTAATAAAATTACATTTATTGAAGATCGAATCACCAAAAAATAGTTCTTATGAGAAATGTCTTTAAATAAAAATATGAACATTTTCATAAGATAAATTAAATTATAAATGAGAGTTTCTCAATAATTGAGACTAACATCATTAGTTATATCGTGATTAAAATAAATGTATTACAACAATTTACGATAAAAATAATTCCTGTATTAGTTTTATGAAAGGTATACTTATTATAACTAACAATAAAATATTGTTATTATTTCTATTGTGCTGTTGCTTTTCAATGTGTACACTTGGTCTGTATAATGGCCAGCGATTACCTATTATATAATAACAATTTATGGAAATCAAAATACTATACACAAAATACTGTTAATTCTAAAACTAATTTCATAGCTGAGGTTTAAAAAGTATTAAGGACTATTAATACAAGTCAATTATATAGTTTAAAATAATAAGCTCTATAATTAACTAATGCATATCTTTGGGAATACTAAATATGATTAAATACTTCATTAAATTTTAACTTTACTAAGATATTTAAAAGTAATATATTTCATTTATAGTACACAAATCATGTAAAAATAATCTTATTTGACTTGTATTGTCATGATAATATGTTAAATTTTTCTACAATAATATTGTTTAGTATTATTAAAATAACTTCATTTTTTAAATTATCGTATAATAATTGTTTTGAACTTAGAACACAAAATTACAAATAAATAAACTGCAATAATCTAGATTTTTCATAGAATAAATATAAACAAGTGATCATATACACTTTTAAAATAGAACACCCACTTAAGGCAACGGTAACGCATTAATAAAGAAACTAAGAGTTTTTACGGTTATGAGAAATCCTAGGTCAAACATTTCGATTGTTTTATCAGTTCACATGATAAATTTTACTTAAAACCTTTTCTTATATTTGCGCAAACTCATTGTTGAAATAATGATTTCAACTTCATTTTCACTTAAATGATTCTCATGTTTTTCACTGTTGAAATTATTTTTATTTATATAATGTATTATTTATATAATTTAAAAATATGTGAATATTTACATATTATAACACATATGGATAATCAAATTGAAATGACAGAGGGATAAATTTTGGATTTGACTACACTTTTAAAACAAAGTAAGCAGAGTGGTCCAGCATGTTCTGGCGAGTCTTATCTTTTTTGATATATTAAATATTTTGCAATACTTTTATTTTAAACAATTATTATACTTTTGAATTGTAATATTATAATTTATAATATTTAAAGAAAACATTTTTTTTTTAATTTGTGAAAAAGAAAACAAATTTGTTTCTCTCATTTGAATTGCAATTCAAGTTGCATAATATAGCTTGAATTTTTTCATTATAATTTTGAATATTAAGAATTGACACGACTTACGTCGCAATAATGTATTCGACACTGGTTTTAAGGGTAGAGACCCGTGGGGCGTTTATTAATGAGCAACAACAGGTTATGTTTAAAAAACAAACCAACCGAAAAGACAAACACAGTAATAATAATCTTCGCTTAATATCGCGGCACTTTCGCTGGTGTCGACGACTAGGTGTCTGGTATGATTCTCGGGCGTCAAAAGTTAGCAGAGTTGATGGCGACGGTGCGGATCGGTTCGTTGAGTCCGGTCGTGCGGCACGTCCGGAGCCGGTGGTGTACATCCTCGAAGTTGTAACGTTGACAACGGGAAGAAGACTCTCGTATTGTTTGCGGCGGGTCGTTGTCGGCCGTGCGGCGGGTCGTTGTCGGCCGTGCGGCACTTGTTGGACTTTGCACCGTGGCGTGTGGTACACGATGTTGCTCTGTAGGGCGACAGCTGATAAAGGTGGCACGACTCGCGTGGCTGTGTCAGAATATGTATTCTTTGTGTGCTAACTTATGATTTAGTATACTAAAAAATTTAATTAAATACAAAAAAATGAGTAAAAAAGAACTATAAGCATTATTTTTATAAATAAAATAAGTACAATTTGTATTTGATTTTTTGCTTTAAAAAGTATCAAAATATTATATTTTCATATTTTTCATATATTATCAAAGTAATCTACTACTTCTATTATATTCTAAAAGTATTTACTTATAATAAAAATTATTTTATTATATAGTAACACATATTAATTATTTTTGACACCATCGTATTATTTACCAAAAGGAATTATTTGAAGACAACTAAAAAAGGACATCTTTTAATTTATAAATATTAAAAAAAAAAATTGTTTATTGAAAACTTTACGTTATTATTGTTTTTTTACTAAAGAAATTAAACTATTATGCTACTATAAATAATATACAATAATTATGAATTTTTTTTTTTTTTAGATTTTTTCTGTGTGTTTAGTTTTGCTGTCTACGACGAATGCTGTTGTTAATTCTGGTACACATGATGAAAAAATACCAATAAAAAGAGACGCAAGTTTGGCTAGTTTTTCAGATTCTTACGTGGCTCAAACTCCTGATATTTCTCAAACTTATGGACCACCTTCCAACTCATATGGCCTTCCACCTAAACTGGAATATGGTGCGCCTCAACCTCCATCTCTGATTTATGGACAACCTACTAGTGCACCTAGTTTATCATATGGTTTGCAAGCTATACCTAATGCAGTAGGTCCACCAGGTGTTCCTTCACCGCCAACTCCGCCTCATATAACATATCATGGTTGGCAGCCTATTCCTGGACTATCAATACCCTATGGACAGTCTTATCAAAATGGATATAGTCAATCTACCATAAATTCAGCTTATGGCACCTCACAAGAAGGTATTTTGACAAATGAAAATGTAAATTCCCTCGATACTTCCTATGAAAGTTCTCAATCAACCATATCATCCAATGGTAATCATGGTGCATCATTAAGTGAATTGTACAAGATACCCATTATTCAAAACAGTTATGGACCATCTCCAAAAGATTCTTACGGACCACCATCAAGTGGATCATACGGACCTCAACGTAAACCTACATTTCGACAAATAATAAAAGAATCATATGGATCACCGCCAAGTAGCTCTTATGAGCCGCCTCCAAGTGGATCTTATGATTCTCCTCCAAAAGATTCTTATGAACCAAAGGATTCATACGGACCCCCTCTAAAAGACTCATATGGTCCACCACATAAAGATTCATACGGTCCACCTCCAAAAGGTTCATATGGTCCTCCACCAAGTGGCTCCTATGGACCACCACCAAAAGATTCCTATGGACCGCCTCCAAAAGGTTCATATGGACCACCTCTAAAAGATTCTTATGGACCACCACCAAAAGATTCCTATGGACCACCTCCAAAAGGTTCATATGGACCACCTCTAAAGGATTCTTATGGACTGCCAACAAAAGATTCCTATGGACCACCTCCAAAGGACTCTTATGGACCACCGCCAAAAGATTCCTATGGACCACCTCCAAAAGGTTCATATGGACCACCTCCAAAGGACTCTTATGGACCTCCATCAAGTAGTTCTTATGGTCCACCACCAAGTGGCTCCTATGGACCACCACCAAGTGGCTCATATGGACCACCTCCAAAAGGTTCATATGGACCACCACCAAAAGATTCCTATGGACCACCTCTAAAGGACTCTTATGGACCACCTTCAAAAGGTTCATATGGACCACCACCAAAAGATTCCTATGGACCTCCTCCAAAGGACTCTTATGGACCACCACCAAAAGATTCCTATGGACCACCTCCAAAAGGTTCATATGGACCACCTCCAAAAGATTCCTATGGACCACCTCCAAAAGGTTCATATGGACCACCTCCAAACGACTCTTATGGACCACCGCCAAAAGACTCTTATGGACCTCCACCTAGTAGTTCTTATGGTTCACCACCAAGTGGCTTATATGGAGCACCTCCAAAAGACTCTTATGGACCACCTCTAAAGGACTCTTATGGACCTCCACCTAGTAGTTCTTATGGTTCACCACCAAGTGGCTTATATGGAGCACCTCCAAAAGACTCTTATGGACCACCTCTAAAGGACTCTTATGGACCTCCACCTAGTAGTTCTTATGGTTCACCACCAAGTGGCTTATATGGAGCACCTCCAAAAGACTCTTATGGACCACCTCTAAAGGACTCTTATGGACCTCCACCTAGTAGTTCTTATGGTTCACCACCAAGTGGCTTATATGGAGCACCTCCAAAAGACTCTTATGGACCACCTCTAAAGGACTCTTATGGACCTCCACCTAGTAGTTCTTATGGTTCACCACCAAGTGGCTTATATGGAGCACCTCCAAAAGACTCTTATGGACCACCTCTAAAGGACTCTTATGGACCTCCACCTAGTAGTTCTTATGGTTCACCACCAAGTGGCTTATATGGAGCACCTCCAAAAGACTCTTATGGACCACCTCTAAAGGACTCTTATGGACCTCCACCTAGTAGTTCTTATGGTTCACCACCAAGTGGCTTATATGGAGCACCTCCAAAAGACTCTTATGGACCACCTCTAAAGGACTCTTACGGACCACCGCCAAAAGATTCTTATGGACCTCCACCTAGTAGTTCTCATGGTTCACCACCAAGTGGCTTATATGGACCACCTCCAAAGGACTCTTATGGACCCCCTCCAAAAGGGTCCTATGGACTTCCACCAAGTAGTTCTTATGGTTCACCACCAAGTGGATCTTATGGACCACCTCCAAAAGGTTCATATGGACCACCACCAAAAGACTCTTATGGACCTCCACCAAAGGACTCATATGGACCACCTCCAAAAGATTCATATGGTCCACCCCCAAAAGGTTCATATGGATCACCACCAAAAGACTCTTATGGACCTCCTCCAAAGGACTCATATGGACCACCTCCAAAAGATTCATATGGTCCACCTCCAAAAGGTTCCTATGGACCTCCACCAAAGGACTCTTATGGATTACCGCCAAAAGATTCGTACGGACCACCTCTAAAAGAGACATATGGGCTACCACCTAAAGATTCTTACGGACCACCGCCAAGTAGCTCTTATGGATCACCACCAAAAGATTCCTATGGTCCACCATTAAATAATAATTTTGGTTCATTATTTAATAATATAAATGGGTTACCCCCAGAAGGAACATATGGTACACCAATAGCTAGCTGTTGTGGCACACCACCACCTGATCTTCCATCACAAAAACCAGCAGGAAATTTATTAGGTTTAGCATATGGGCAATCATCTGGAAAACAAACACCAGGTCCTAATCTTAATCCGAAAAATCCAGTTCAAATCGGACAACCTCTACCTCAAGGTTTAGTTGAATCTACTCAGTATAATAACAACAAAGGAGAAACATACATACCTCCTCCAGTTCCAGAAATCCCAACAACTGGAGTTGATGCATATGCAGCTCCTTCAAGTTCCTCTTTATATGGTTCATCAAATATAGATACTAGTGTACAGTTTGGATATAATCAAGTGCCCCCACAAATCCCAGTGGAAGCTAACAACCAAGTTCAACAGCATAATCCAAGTATCTTATCGAATACACCAATTACTGGAGATTATAGTCAAGGTTTTAATGCACCAGGTCCCGAATCTTATCAATTAACTCAATCAGTATCAATCAATAATGAAGGTTATCAATCGAATAGTCTTAATCAACATAATTTAGCTTATGCACAAACCAATGATAATTTCGGTATTCCATTACAACAGTTTGACATAAATCAGAAAAATAACGAATATAAAATTAATCCACTACAAAGAGAAGAATCTTTAAATTATCAGCAGCCTTCAAACAATTACAATCAACCTCAAGATGGAGTCGATGTTAATGATATAGTAAAATCTTTAGGTTTAGAGGGATCTTCAGTAATAGGATCAAAGTCAGTGGACTTAAATAATATACAAGATTATCCTGTACGTGGTAAATCGGGAAGTTATATGCTACAAATACAACCTGGACAACGTGGCGCAGAAAATGTAGCTCATGATCAAGTATTGTCAAATGGCTTATTACAGGATATTTTATCAGCGATAGAAAATCAACAAAAATCGGAAAATTCATATGATAATCAGCCACAAGGATCAGAGTTGCAGGAAAAAACATTAGCCTCAAATGTTAGTGTAGTGATACCTGAAAATAACACAAATAATAAACCAGAAATGGCATTATTTTATAACACAGGATATGGAAAAGTATCTACGTTTAATAATGAAACAGAATCGTTACCAAGAGATATAAACCATTTAAGTGTGAATGAGGTATCAGAGGGAAATTTCGTTTTATACAATTCACCGAAGGTAAATTATGTGTATGGCGACACAACACCACAGGTTATATCTCAGCTATACACTCAACAATCAACTCCCAAGACTGATGAGAGCTCAACTTATCCATTATATAATGAAGGAAAGTAATTTTTTTAATAAAATTAACAAAATAAAAATTAACATTTTTAGTAGCATTCAAAATCTGAATAGTAATTTATTGCTTTTATGTATTGTTAAAATATTCAATTAAACTTCGACCAAACAAAATACTCAATACAATTATAAATAAATAGTACATTAAACGAATAGGTGCATAATATAATTTTTTTCCTCAGATGTTATTCATCAAATTAATAATTGACGAATATTTCAGAATAGTTTATTTATCACGAATATGAGCTATAAAAATCGTGTCATATTCATTTTGAATCGTGAACTGTGCATATTAAATTCAGTGAGAGTAAGACACGCATAAATGTTGATAGTATTACAATAAAATATTTACCGAGGGGCAGCTAAATTCTTTTTTGAAAGTTAATCATTTTTTGAATGCAACTAGAATGAAAAATAAAATATATTTATAAGTAATGGAAAATGTTTTCAACAAACAAAATATTTTAAATAATAAGTATTTTTTATAAAAACTGTAATAAAATTGGGATACCAAACTATTGCCAAAATAATGTGCCATAATATTTATATTGGTTTATAGTAATGTGTAGAGTAAAAAAATTACTTGTTTAACTTTTATGCTAAATAACCACACAGTTAATATTATTATTTGTATAACTGTTGTTAGAGTTTTGAAATGTTTTAAAAATACTTTTAATTGTCGTTTTGGATTTGTTTTATAATTAAAAAAATATTATGTAGGTAATTGTAAATAATTTAATTAATTTTTTTAATTAGATAAGTGATTCTTTATTATGCCTACTTAAATATTATGCGTATCAAATACCATTATTGCCACCAATACCGTAGATTGTATTAAATATCCCTAACTAGTGCTTTGTTTTAAGTTGTATTAATATAAGTTTTTTAAACAAAATTAATTTTGTATATATTTAAATTATTATTTTTATGATACTTTGTAGTTACTATATTTTAATAATTATTGTAAAAATAAATTGTCTTTTTGATTAAAATAATGGATTTATAAGTTATAATGTTTAGAATGTATGTATGTAATACATTCTTATTTCAGTATTCTTTAATTATTTTTTCTCTTTAGTAACTTTAAGTTAAACATTACTTATTTATTAAAGGAATATAACAATTCACTTGGATTATTCATAACGTATATTAACATACGTTTATATATACCAGTAACTTGATTACAGAAGAGTATGTATTTTTAACATGTAAAATTATTTTTATTGTTCGCTAATGATATGTAAATAAAATTCCTTTATGTGTAACATAAAAACACTGAAGTATAGTAAAATTTTGGAGTAAAAATATACAGTTTCGTACTATAGGCATATCTAAAGGGACCTGAATAACCTATATCTGAAATTAAAAAAAACATTTTTCGTATCATTTAATATTTTAAGGTATATATTAAAATAAGCATTTAGATATTGAAATATTTTTCCTAGTTATTTATATATTTTTTGATTTTCCAATTTATATTACTATTGTTTAGTTTAAAATACTTACATATTTAAAAAAATACATTATTAATACATATTTTTAAGAAATACTATCTACAAAATTTCAGGGTTGTTCATTTATTTCATATACCTTTCTGTCAAATTAACATTGCGCACTAGAGTGACAGTAAGCTACATTGGTGGGGTTTTTTTTAATAATATTTATAAGGGCCACCTCCTAGAATTGTTCGAATACCTAAAATGAATAATTGTGTAAAATTTGATGATGATTGTTCTAAGGTGTGCCCCTAAAGAGTTAAAAATGATACCCCTAGAGTAGTTTTTTAGTTATTTTCGTCACTCTCGAAATCATTAACTTTTATGAAAAAGTTCATAGTGATATTTTTGTAGATATAATATTTTTCTATAAAATAGATATCTGCAAAAAATTTCGAAAAATTGTTATTTAATCTAACAAAGAATGAAAATGTAAATATTCTATTTTTACATTTTCATTTAATAATGAGTATCTAAAATTAACTTATTATTAAAAATTCTGTTTAGTTAGGTGATTTTTTTGTTATTTTAATCTACCAAACCCTCAAACGTTCAATATTGCAGTTGAAAATTTAATTATTATATGTAATAATTTAAAATGGTGTCAGCTTTATTAGCTACGATGCGAAGCTGAGAAGGTATTGGTTTTACTATGATGTGTTTT